TGTTTTTAAATATTAATAGTAGCTTACAAAACATTGAACTAAACAGATCATGCAGTACACTATATTACCAGCCAGAGCTAAAGAAAGAAAATTGTGTTTACTAACACCTGGCAAGAACTTGGTCTCAAAAGTACCTGATAGAAGTAGTCTGTGCAGACAGTTCTATTTACCAGGAACCAGTACTGATTTTTTATTTATTTTTTTTAATCTTTTGGAAAAAAATTTTAGTGGTCCATCAAATTTCTAGAATTGAAAGTGCTTTGAACACAGCAGCTTTGGGGATCATAGCATTAGAGCATATGGAAATCTGTTCCGTAGTAAAGAGTACATATATATGAACTTTAGTTCCTTTATATAAATACCACTGTTATGAGAGGTTTTCATACTTAATTTCCTTAACAAACATGAGTCTTTCTGCTCTGCTTATTTGTTTATTCTGTTTTTAGATTCCCAAATGCCATATAATCATGGCATTTGTCTTCATCTGTCTGACATTTCAGTCACCACAGTGCCCTCTTCAGCGGTCGCCAACCTTTTGGACCTCATGGACCAAGTGGTCCATGGATCACCGGTTGGCAAATGCTGCTCCAATTTCTTTTTTTCTCTCTTTGATTAAAGTATTACATATGTGTCCTTAACCCCCCATTGTTCTCCCCACTCATGGCCCCACTCCCCTGGTGTCTGTGTCCCTTGGTTAGGCTTATATGAATGCATACAAGGCCTTTGGTTGATCTCTCCCCTTTATCGCCATCCTCCCTTACCTTCCAAAGGTTTCCAGCAGTCACCAACCTTTCGAACCTTGTGGACCACCGGTTGACTTTTACGATCACTACTCTGGGTCCATCCATGTTGCAGATGGCAAGATTTCATTCTTTTTTATGGCTGATTCATATCCCATTGTACATGTGCACCACTTCTTTTATCCATTCATGTATTGATAAACACACCTGCGTTGATTCCATATCTTAGCTATCTATATATTTATTTAGATGGGTAATATGCAAAAAAGCCGGGCGTCACGACCCTTCAGGAGGAGCTATGTGCACAGATGGGCGGGAGGGGACTGTGTGTGAACCCCACTCCAGTGGACACACACACCAGTGCGGGGGCGTGCTCCAAGCAGCCGCACAGCATGGCTCGGAGCATGCCCCCAGTGGGTGGCGTCAGCAGCTGGACCGTAGCAGCCCTGGTCCCAGATGCCTGGCAGCAGCAAGCGCAAAGCAGCCCAGGTCTTGGGTGCCAGAGGGAAGCTGGTGCCTTCCACCAGGGGAAGGAAGGCCTATTACACAAATCTCGGTGCATTGGGCCTCTAATTGTAAATAATGCTGCAATAAACATGGATGTATGTGTTTTTTTGATTTAGTGGAATGGCTGAGTCGTCCTTTCTCTGTTGTTACATAGTTTTTGTTTTAAAGTCTATTTTGTGTGGTATAGGTATTGCTACCCCAGCGTTTGTTTGCATTTTCATGAAATATCTTTTTCCATCCCTTTACCTACTTTTAGTCTGTGTGTGTCTCAATATGAAGTGAGTCATTTGTAGGCAGCTCATATAAGCCTTACCTTCTATACCTACCTCTCTAATTGTGTCCTTGTCTTTAAAAAAGATTTTTTTTCTAATTATTTTTTTTCTTATTGTAAAAAGTTCAGAAAATACAGAGAAATATGAAGGACAAAATAATTCCCTGAAATTTTACCATCTGTTAGTAGCCACATTTTGGTGTGTTTGTCCCTTATTCAATCTATAATATGTTAATACTTTTTTTTTTTTTTTTTTAGTTCCATTCATCTCCTTATACCCTCTTCTACCTCCACCCACCCCCTGATACCCACAATTACCACAATGTTACCCAGGCCCATGAGTTATTTCTCTTTTTATTCTCCCACTCAATCCTTCCACCCTGTCCAGCATCCCCCACCACAGCTGTTTGCCTGCTCTGTGAGTCTTTCTCTACTTTGCTTGTGAGTTCGCTTTGTTCATTAAATTCCACATGTGAGTGCAATCATATGGTACTTGTCCTTCTTTGACTGGCATATTTCACTTAGCATAATGTTCTCCAGGTCCATCCCTGCTGTCGCAAAGAGTAGTCCATTGTGTAAAGGTATCATAGCTGTTTTATCCACTCATCATTTGATGGACACTTGAGCTGTTTCCAAATTTTGGCTATTGTAAATACAGCTGCAATGAACATAGGGGTACATATGAACATAGGGGTACATATTTTTCCAATTAGTGTTTCAGGTTTCTCCAGATAAATTCCCAGAAGTGGATTTTCTGGCTCATAAAGCAGTTCTATTTTTCATTTTTTGAGGTAACTCCATACTGCATTCCACAGTGGCTGCATCAATCTGCATTCCCGACAACAGAACACAAGGGTTCCCTTTCCTCCACACCCTTGACCCTTGTTTGTTTATTGATGACAGCCATTCTGACAGGTTTGAGGTGATATCTCATTGTGGTTCTAATGTGCATTTTTCTGATGATTAGTGACTCTGAGCTTCTTTTCATATATCTATACTTCTTACACAAACAAAATCGAGATTATATATGGTTTTATTATATTTTCACATAATGGTCTATCATGAGTGTCTAACAAATATTTGTGTTCCAAACACCTGACATACTTTTTGCACATAGTAATCCAGCTGTGAAATAGGAATGATAATCCTCAAATAAATAACCAGTTTATAGTTAGTTAATATTAATATTTTAATTCATAGTTAATATTAATTAAATGTTACAATTCTAAATATATTACTTATATAATTTTCAAGATTATTTAAGAAACATCACGCTGAAACCGGTTTGGCTCAGTGGATAGAGCGTCGGCCTGCGGACTCAAGGGTCCCAGGTTCAATTCCAGTCAAGAACATGTACCTTGGTTGCAGGCACACAGTGTGCTGGAGGCAACTGATCGATGTTTCTCTCTCATTGATGTTTCTAACTCTATCCCTCTCCCTTTCTCTCTGTAAAGAATCAATAAAAAATTTTTTTAAAAAAGAAAGAAAAAAAATCAAGAAAACTCCATGAGTGATATGTTATTTTTTCCCTTTTGCAAATGAAAAACTGAGGCATGAAGTGTTTAATAATTTTCCCACAGGCTTCACCCTTACTGGTGTGTTCAGTGGTTAGAGCACTGGCAACAAAGGGTCACAGGTTTGATTCCCAGTCAAGGATACATTCCTGGGTTGCAGGTTCCATCCTGGCCCAGTCAGGTGTGTGCAGAAGTCAACCAATCAATAACAATTTTCCCACTGGCTCCTTCATAAGTGGTAGGCTGAATGTGATCCTGAGTCTTTCTATTTCAGGGCTTTTATTTTTTACCAAACCCTTATACTAAACGTTACCCCTTAGTGCTGACCCAGAGACATTTTCCTGTGCTCACCATTTATATGCCCTTTAAAGCTCTCCATTTTCTCCCAAGGTCTTCGTGTGGCATTAGAGTTCATTGCATGATGGCTTTGTAGAGCAGCTAAGTCTGTGCTGCCTGTCTGTCTTGTTAGAGGAGCTGAAATACTAAATCATGTTGCCTTCCAAATTCATGCTAACACTCTGTTCTAAGTTGCCTAATATCTGGCTATGGTTTCAGTAGTCCTGGGATAATGTCATTTTGATCCACCTGCAGATTTCTAATTTCATCAATCTATCCATTCAGTGTCTTAAAATCCCCTTGAATTTATTTATTATACTTTCTTAAAAACTTTATGACTGGATCATATTCCAAAAAAAGAGAAAATAAGTGTTTATTTAGGGATAAAACTACTATATATTACTCAAAAATCCATAGATTATGTTTATGTTAGCACTTTGCTTGCATCCTAACTTTCTTTTTTAAAATTCATGATTACTATCTGATTTTCTTTTCAAAATAGCCTATGTTGAAACTAATAACTATAAGTCCACCTGCATTTTTTCTTTTTTTCTTTTTTAAGGCTATTTTTAGTATAAAGGATAATTCTCAGTTTAAAAAATCAAATCATCGTTTGCTGTTTTATAAGACAAGCTGATGAGAAATGTGGTCTTGAAAAGTTTTATCTTGTATTATGAGGAAACTAGAAGCCCAGTGCGGAATCCCGCGGCCCCACCCACGCGCATGCGTCTTGCCATGCTTGCAGCCCGCACAGCCGCGTGCATTCACTGCGCACGCAGCCTCCTGGTGACCGGTCTTTGGTCGTTTCGGCATTATGACCACTGGGTTTTTATTATATAGTTAACCAAAACTTGACCAGAGACTTAAAAGGAATCTGCTTTGGAAGAAAGGGATGTCACAGGATATATAGTTACTGGAATCTGTTATGAATAGTTTGTTTTAAAAGGATTGAGAATAAGGAATAATGGTTCCTTAATGAAAGATTAAGAATAAGGAATGATGGTTCTTTAATGAAATCAGGGCATAAAGAGAATGATCTTTCATAGACAGTGTAACTTATTTGTAGTAAAAGAAAAATTGGGGAATGATTATAAAGGATGTAAGATTGGGAAGATGATCAAGGAAATAAACCATGAAAGAAACTAGCCTGTCATTCTAAATGCTCTTTAAAATGAACTTTGGTAGAAAGTAAAATGGATCACCCTTATAAAATGTATTCTTGTTACTTGGTTCATTATTAGTATTTTGAAGCTCCCATGGTGGTTAGCACAGTGCCTTTGGCTGTAGAATATAATAGCTATTGAATGTTGAAAGTGATCTGAAGTTACTTGAAATTTGTTTAATAAATAAATGCAATAACAAAATAAATTTTATTTGTAATATTTTTTTAATTAGTGATTTGCCTGTGTTCTCATAAAAATGTTAAAAGCATTTTTTACTCATGGTAGGAAATTGGGTTTCATTAAAGTTTGAGGATGAGTATTTTGTCTGTGAAAGCCAGATATATGTGTGTTATGAGCCTGATGAATATAGTAAATTTTGACCCAAATTTAAAGTAGATAAGCATTTTCCTTCTGTAAAACCTGGAGTAGCATGTCCTAAATACATTTGTGTTCTTTCTGACTTATTCAGGGAAGCAGTGTTTCTTAGTCCTACGTCAGCAGCAGTTTAACGTCCAGGCTCTTGTGGCAGTAGGAGACCATGCAAGCAAGCAGATGGTTAAATTTGCTGCCAAGTAAGTAAGCAATTATATCCTGTTGTCAGAATAAACAATGGTGGGAACCAAGACTCCCAGGGGTTTGGACCATTTTCATACATTAACATCAATGCTTCGTTTGTTTAAAAATGTAGTTATTTAAATTGTCGGTTCAGTGTGCTGAATACATTAAACTTACAAAAGAGAAAATATGGAGCACAGGCTTAAAATTCATTGGGAACTGCTGAAGCAGCACTCTCTATAGACAAGTCACATTTACTTTCAAGTAGAGTAACAAAAAGCCTGGCAGCCCCCACATAGCAAGGCAACTTTATTTTGTGGTGTTTGAGCTTCATTTCCTCTGTCCCTCCCTCAGTTTCTGATTTGCATATTGAGCAACAAGTTTTCTAACTGAATAAAAGTGTATAAAATAAAAGAATGTAGTTTTGCAAATGATTCCCTCCTGAAGGACTTTTTAAAAAGTAAAAATTGCTTTGTTTCCCCAAAAGTCTTGCTCAGAGTTTCTGTAGAAGCTCATTGTTTTGTTCAGTTTGCAAGAAATGGGATATTGAGATAGCATAGTAGTTATACTGTAGTTCTACGTAATAATGGTTGGTGATATAGCTAGTTTTGTTCATTTGTATGTTTTTCTCAATTTAATTGAAATTTTATTTCTATGATAATGATCAAAGAAGACTTGGAAAATGGACGATCTTTATATTTTAAGTAGTAGAGTATTTCATAGGCATAAATGTTTTTTAAAGAAATTCAATCTAGAGTAAGTGTATATTTTTTCTATTGATTTTTATGTCTGTTCTTTAGATGTATGCTGTCAAAGATGAGTTAACACACATAGAATTATCAACTTATAACTACAAAAAAACTAAAAAATTATTTAATTTAAGACTAATTTATGTTTGGGGCCTCCATGACTCCTCTAGCACAGTATTTTACATTTAGTGGATGCTTAGCCACTGGTTTTGATTTAGTGATTTATTTATCAAATTCAGTTTTATCATCCCATATCACAGTGTTTTAATATAGTAGATGTTCAGCAATTGGTTTTAGTTTAGAGATGTACTTATCAAAGTTAAGGGGTTTTTTTGTTTTGTTTTAAATATATTTTTACTGATTTCAGAGAGGAAGGGAGACGGAGAGAGAGAAACTTAAATGTTGAGAGAGAATTATTGATCGGCTGCCTCCTGCACACCCCACACTGAGGATTGATCCCCCAACCCCCAAACAGGGCATGTACCCTGACCGAGAATCAAACCGTGACCTCCTGGTTCATAGGCCAACACTCAACCACTGAGCCATGCCACTGGGCTCAAATTTAGTTTTATTGTACCACAGCGATACCTGCACTCTGGTATAAAAACTCCAGTGCCATTAATTACATGGCTTCTCACTGGTGAACTCAGTAGAATTAGTACTACTAGTACAGGAATCCCATCTCTCCCTACCTCCCACTCATGTTGCCCAGAGACTGTCACTTTCATCTCTTCTACCTGTATCTTTTGGTATTTAGGTTTGTTGATTTCATCTCATAGTCCCTGCAAAGGTTTGTGCTTGTGGATTGCATATATCATCTAGCCTTTAAAGGTCAATCTATGTCCTATGAAGTGGGGTATAAATAAGCTTGGACCCTAGAAATAAATGTGGCATATAGAGCCTTTGAGCCCCTGGATACCACAGACATATATGCTAAATTATATTTAACTAGAGGCCCTGGGGCCACTCAGCCTGGCCTGCAGGATCGGGCCAAAACTGGCTCTCTGACATCCCCCGAAGGGTCCCGGATTGTGAGAGGGCATAGGCCAGGCTGAGGGGTCCCACTAGTGCACGATTGGAGCCGGGGAGGAACTCAAGAGGTTGGCCAGCTGGGGAGGGACCGCAGGAGGGCTCCAGAGTGTGACCGGCCCATCTTGCTCAGTCCTGATGGGCTGGACCCCAGCAGCTAGCTCACCTACCAGTCAAAGCATCTGCCCCCTGGTGATCAGTGCACATCATAGTGAATAGTTGAGTGTCATTAGCATATCATTAGCATATTACACTTTGATTGGTTGAACAGGTGACCGGACACTTAGCATCTTAGGCTTTTATTATATAGAAACTAGAGGCTCAGTGCATGAAATTCGTGCACAGGGGGCGAGGGGTGTCCCTCAGCTCGCCTGTGACCTCTCGCAATCTAGGACCCCTCAGTTAGGGTCCCTAAGCCTGGCCGGCAATCATGGCTTTCTAGGGGTTTCCTCACTCACGCTGCTGCCACTACTTGCCATCTGTCTGGCACTGCCCCTTGCCACTGGGCACCTTCCTCTGCTAGCAACAAGCAAGGGATATGGTTCTTCAAAAATCTTTATTTCTACTTTCCTGAGAAATATAAAAGTATGAGATTCAGTATGGTATTAATTCACTATAATTGCAAGAAGTTACTTGACATGTAAAACAAGCCTATGCCTGCCTTGGAATTCGAATATAAATTTTTATTATCCAAAAGTAGTTTAATATTTTAAAAAATAATTGATGCTTTGGGTTCTGTTTTTAACTAGCAAAAATATATGGCTTCTCATGTTTGGGTATTTTGAATTCTTAATGAATTATACAATTTAAATCATTGTGCTATATTTAATAGTGCTTTATTTTTTTTAAATGTACATTATTTTGTTGATGCATTACTCAAAAAACTAGTGTGTGGCAACTTTATAGCCTGTCCTCTTTTCTATCTAATTTTATATTACAGCTTTTCCAATACTTAAAAATTATTAATTTGAATATGGGTAGTTATGTAGATCTGTGACATATTTCTCATTGAATATAAATAGTAAAATTCAACTAATTATTTCTGACAACTAGAAGGCCAGCAAAATTGTTTCCAGTTTTGCTGAAAATCTTTAATATTCAAGCGTCTGTAAGTATTAAAATTTTAACAGTTTTGTTGATATTAGAATATGTAAACATGTAGAAAGAAATGCTTAGTGTAGTATCTTTTTCACTTTTATTGATACTAGGGTGGGAGGGAGATAATGAAGTAGATACAAACAACAAAATAATGGTTACTGGGAGGAAGGACAAAGCAAATAAAGGGAGTCAAATACATAGTGATGGAGGGAGACTAGACTTCAGGTGGTGGGCACACAACGGAGTATACAGATGTCATATTATAAAGATATACACCTAAAATTTACACAATATTAACCAATGTCACCCCAATAAATTTAACTTTTAAAAAGCATGCTATGCCCTAGCTGGTTTGGCTCAGTGGATAGAGCGTTGGCCTGCAGACTGAAGAGTCCCAGGTTCAATTCTGGTCGGGGGCATGTACCTTGGTTACGGGCACATCCCCAGTGGGGGGTGTGCAAGAGGCAGCTGATTGAAGTTTCTCTCTCATTGATGTTTCTAACTTTCTACCCCTCTCCTTTCCTCTCCGTGGAAAATCAATAAAATATATATTAAAAAAATAAAATAAAAAGCATGCTATGAAAACAGTGGTGGGAAAGGTAGTTAGAAACTAGAAATTTATGTTTATAAAGTTATTTTTCTTTAATAATTTTAGTATAAAAATATAGTTATAATTATAAACATGAAAACTAAAATTCACTAGACTACTTTAATAATTGCACCTATATTTGCTTACTCTTTTGCCTTTTCTTATCATCAGCAATGCCATAGTTCATTTTACACATTCTTATCACTCTATATGTGAGAAAACACAAAGTTACTCAACGAAGCAGCTATGTTGTATATGCAATTAATGGGGGGGGAAAACCCACCAACTCAGATATTAAAATTAGAATTTATCCTTTACTAAGATTCTGGACACAGGAAGGAAGGATTTGCCTAGATAACTGATGGTGTTTCTTAACACATCAGGCTCTTTGTTAAACACTTGTATAAACCCTTTGCTAAACCCTCTCCTAAATTGCTCTCTTGTCAGCAAGGGAGGAGATCTTGGGACATTCAGATCTGGGTGTCCTTTTGGGTTAATTTTTTGTAAAGTGGTCATATTCAGTCAGTTCTGCTGTAATGTAACAGATGCATTCCTAAAATCACTGCTATGCAAAATTATGCATTAAGAAATTCAAGATTTATGTGGAAAACTAGAGGCCCAGTACACGAAATTCGTGTACTGGGTTGGAGGAGTGGGGTCCCTCAGCCCAGCCTGTGCCCTCTCGCAGTCCAGGAGCCCCGCTGTATGTCTGACTGCCAGCTTAGGCCCACTCCCCTTAAGCCAGCAGTTGGACATCCTTAGTGCTGCCACAGAGCCACTGCGCTCGCCAGCCATGAGCCGGGCTCAGGGCTTCTGGCTGAGCGGCACTCCCCTTGTAGAAGCACACTGACCACCAAGGGGCAGCTCCTGTGTTGAGCGTCTGCGCCACCCCCCCCCCCCCCAGGGGTCAGTGCATGTCATACCGACCGGCTGTTCCACCATTTGGTCTATTTGCATATTAGCTTTTTATTTTATAGGGTGGGTTATATAGCACAACCAAAAACTTTATTAGGGAAATCTCTTTATAATAAACTTAGTATAAAAAAACAGGTAGAATAGTTTTCCACATATTAAATGAGTGAGAAGTATAATACAACAATAAATATCTCACTTTATCTTTAAAAATACATGTTGTGTTCTTGTGGGAGTGGGTGTCAGAAGAGTTGCAGCTTGTAAATTGTGGGAGAAAGAAAGCTGTCCAAAGGAAAGTTGTACCACCAAGTAGATGGATGTAGCTTATAACATATAGAAATTTGGAGAGTGTGTGTGTTTCATGTGTTCCTACATGGCTTAGTTCACCAAAGAATCGTTTTCTATATTGACCTAGTGGCTCTCACTAATGAAATCTGCATAGACAAACACAAAATTCTCATTATGCTCAGATTGGTCCCTAATAGGTCAGCTGTGTTGGATATAATTTACATCAAAATAATGTTATAGTAAAACTATGCTCTTAAAAGAGACAATATATTTGTCAGTGAGTACTAGGTAAAAACATAAGTCTTATCTGTCTGCTGACTGCTTATGTGTGGGGTAAGGAAAAGAATATGAA